AAACTTTCAACCACATCTTTCTGTAATTAACTGACTAGGACTCAGGACTCTTAGTTAACAAAATCTCCTTCTAACATGTCAAACACAGATGTGTAAGTCAACTGCTGCTTAGAATATAAAATTAGCAATGCAAGAACCACATCCGTCAGTCATGTATGTACCTGTGCTGTCCCAGATATATCTGGCCTCAAGGCCAAGAGCTCTGCAGCACAGTGTGAAACAGTTAGCCCACTCCCCACAGCGCCCCCTCCTGGTTTCAAGTAGCTTCTCAGGATTATTGTACCTGGTGTTAATGATAAAGAAATGTACATCAGTGAAAGCAAATCATTATTATTACCTCTGCCAAGGAGGTTATGTTTTCGCCGGTGTTTGTCTTTTTGTTTGCCTGCAAAATAACTCAAAAAGTTCTGAACGGATTTTGATGAAATTTTCAGGAAAGGTTGATAATGGGACAAGGAACAGATGAGAACATTTTGGTGGTGATCGGTTGAAGCGAAGTGGATAAAATAATAAAATGGCGGTAAATCCGAGCTGCTTGGTGGAGGTCTGCTTTTCTAGTTCTACATGCGTTTTATGGCAAAATTCATTTCATACTTTTTAAATTCTTACATTTAAAAGTTTGTTTACAGTAAATACTGCAAAATAAAAGTCAGGGATTTGACAATAAAATGTACAAGCAGTGAAACTTTGTCTCTTTGTGTAACTTAAACCTAATTTTATTACACTCTGGTAAAACTGATCCCAAACTCTTTAACTGCAGTTGCAACAACGAGCCAAAATGTTGCACAAACACACACAGGCACAAACCTGGGGAATCTGGTGGAGAGCTGGCAGCTCTGACAGAAATGGTTCTCCACTCGCTGGGCTCCCCAGCGGAGGTCATCGGGGGTAGGACTGAGGGACCCGGAGTTCTGGGTCCGGCCTTTGCAGCGGCTGCAGGGGAGACAGTCCACCCAGGAAAAGAAGTCTTGTTTGAACCAACTGAGCAGCTCCAGCACCAGGAATTCTTCCATTCCAAGTTTACATTCTACAAACAAGAAAGCAAATCAGTTGGTTCCTCTGAGTCCTTGTTTAAAAAGGAGCACACAGTGTGATTAAATCTTTTGAATGAGTGAGAGGATTTCACCTGGATCTGCCTCTTTTGCCTCCTTTAGCTTGCGTTCAGCAGCAGAGGACATCTGCTGGTGAGGGATGCAGCTCCTGGCTTTGCGCTGGAGCTCAGGGTTTTCATACATCATCACGTGTTGGAAATTTGACTGGAGAGTCACAAAAAAGCTCATACTGCTCTCCTGACAAAAGCACAGAAAAATCCTGATTACAAATATAAGTAGAGACAGAGTGACAATTTATCAGAACTGAAGGAGGTATAAGGATAGGTTCATCATATGGAGACGTTCATCTGAGATGTAGGGGATCGTATGAAAAGAATTGGGGTGGATGGTGGGGTGCTGAATGTTAAATTTCTTTTCTTTTTTTTTGTTAAAGCTGCAGCCCTCTTTAGCGTTACTATTTTCTTTGCTACCTCCCCTTGATTAGAAAGTAAAACTGTGACACCCTACCCCAATATTTTAAAATAATAGAAAGGCAAAGCATTAAAAATGTTGAAAACAGACAGGCTGCAGCTCTTCTGCTATTTACACCCATTCCTACGACACGTTATTATGGATCCCACTGTGTGCTGTGATTGGCTAGTACTCGTCAAGTCAACACATTGAGCTCGGAGGCGATTGGGATTAGGGCAAAGAGGTCATGGTAAGGGTTAGTGCTAGCTCATCTTAGATGATCTCTGAGATTCAGGTGGTAAATTTACGAGAAAACCCTACAAATGTATTAGAGCAAAGTCAAGTGACGTAGTGTGAAGAGTGACAGTCCATGGAGGGAGTGAGATGTGGTGGATAATTGGGTCCATCACAGGACTTTCACACAGGAGACTGGAGTTTAGGTCCAGTATAAGTTGCCGGCTTATTATTGTTAGACATATTTGACTTATTAATTTCAGTTTTTAAGATGTATAAAGCTGCTGAATGCACACTGTGTACATAAACTTGAGCAGAATAGCTTAATAGACGTATTTGGATTTCTGTCCTATTTCGATGTTGTTAAGACACCCAGGAAAATACACCTGGGGCTGTAAAAAGCCACATTTGGCTATTTACAGCCCCAGGTGCAAATAGCATTGCTGGCTACAGACACTTGGGAGCTTGTCTCTGCCATGATGCTACATACACTCTGTACAACAAGAGCATTGGCACCTGGGGTGTAAATAGTCAGTGTGGCTACACGCCAGGTGCAAATGCTGTTGTTGGCTACAGACACCTGGGTGCTAATAGCATCAGTCTTTATCATTTCAGTCAAAACCTCACAAGTTCCTGCTATTCCAATGATTTGCTGCTTTTCTCTGTTTTACATAATTGTAAACTGAATATCTAAATATAAAGTGCAATTTGGATTGTTGATCAGACAAAGCACATCATTTGAAGATGTTATCTTGAGGTCTGAGAGACTGTGAAGGCATTTTTTAAAGATTGTTCTGACACTGTGTGTGTTAAATGATGAATCAATTAATCAAAGAAGTACTTGGCAACTTAGGAATAAATTCAGTTTTTAATTATTAATTTAGGAAAAAAAAGCCCTGAGAGAGAAGCAGGACTGCTGTCCTTTACAAAGGACAAAGTACACCTGTATGACATACTGCACACGCCAAGGCCATCATCTGCAATGATTAGGTGTTTATTCTGTTTTATTTTGCAGATGATCTGGCATTACAAGTGTTTTATATACACAAATTGGGGTTTCAACATGCAATGTGGATGTCTCCCTTCTTTCTGGCAAACTGGCATTTGATTGAGGTTTTAAATTATTATGATTTGATGTCATGGCCAAAAAAAAAAGGAACAAAGTGAGGTGTGTTTTGTCTCCACTGTGACCCTGCTACATTGATATTATAGCTGTACACTTCAGATATGTTCAATCACACTTTTTGCCATTTTAACCAGGGAGGAGAATATCTTTACCAAGGATGGAGGCTGTGATGGAGGTTGTACAACTGGCTGGCTGGAGGCAAAAGCAGAGCTCTCTGGTGCTGAGGCAGGGGCAGAGGCAGAGGCAGAGGCAGCAGCGCCCTGAGCAGCAGGCTGGACAGACTGTCCTCCATGTAGCCTTTGATCCCTCTCTGCCGCTATGGATTCCCTGATGAGCTTGAGCTGTTCCACTGATGCAGACTTGGGGAACACCAGGTGGGTCTCAGCCTGAACAGAGGGGAAAGAGGTCATAACATAACTCACAGTTAGGCTAATGGCAGATAACCAAATAGACCCTAGGCAATTAAGCAAGTGGTTTAACTTATTACAGTAGCCATGTGACAGTACTTATGAATTACCTCCTCGAATCCCATCTCAAACAGGCATTCCACAGCACCTTTGATGGGCAACAGCTTGGTGGAGAATGTAGGATTACCAATGCGGATGGATCTGTACTTTTCCTCATTGGGATACCTGTTGGAAAGTCACATATGAGGAAGTAGAGCGGTTCTCAAGGCTGTTGGGGAAATACATTTCTTCCTATGGGGTGGAAGAGACAAATCACTGTATACAAACTGAAGAGTCATGTGTTCAAGGGTGAGAAATATGTGAGAAATACATGATAACTGCTTTATTATCGCACAGAAAAAGGGCATTTTCATAAAGTCATATTTCAGGTGAGTGTGCTCGGGTATGAATGTTAACTCTACTTAAAGAAGCAAATGATAACTTTAACTTAAGACATTTATTTATTATATTTCAACTGTAAAATACTGACTTAAAGGTACATTAATTCTTTACAACAATGTCTTGACTACACAATAACTGGTGTAATGATTGCCCCAATAGTCTGAGCAATTTCTGAACTTTTTTAGTGTCCTAATTTATTCTTATATACACAATTCTTGGATGTATACTTAACATATGACGCAGATAATGTACATATTTCTTATTCTTGTTGCTAATTACGTATGTGCTATATTGCATATTGTAGAATAAAACACATATTCTACATTTATAAAACTTAACATATTAGTTTATACTTTGTAAAGTAGCATAATGCACATATCTTACATTTTGTAGTGCTCAACATTGCAGAATAATACACATATACATACATATGTATACTTCTTATTTCTATTGTCTTATAAGTCTCGATGCTTTACATCAATTCTGACACCTAACACTGCAGCGTATTACAGAGACAGTGTTTGCAGATGTAAGAGGTGAATATAGACATGTAACTTAGACAACTTTAAACAGCTTCCCAATGAGTCAGTTGTATGACGAATAATCAAAAACACCCTCTCCATTAATACTTAAGTTAGGTAAGGGTTTTCCATGCATGGGCGTGTGCTCACACACAAGGACAAGTAAAAATGCCTGACTTTTAAACAGGGTTTGGTTTGACACCATGTGTACAGGCAACAACAGCATATACTGGAGCTCAAGTGCAGCTATGTTAGCTTAACCGGCGGTTAGCCCGCTCATGACACAGTGTTAAACTACTTATTTGTCATGTAACGTTACAGGAAATCTCAGGTCAGCTAACACATGACAACAATCCGCTCAACACACTGCTGGTGTCATAACTTCACAGCCTTACCTTAAAATATTATCCGCGTATGTAAGTAACAACTTCGCGACGTCTAGAAAGACTTCGTTTGAGTTTTCACACAGTGTTGTCACGGCTGGTGACACCGCCATGCTCGTACTTCTTGCTGTGATAGCTAGCTTGAATGCTAATGCTGCAATTTTGGCTAAATGACGTTTTCGGGTCCTGAGTTTAGCTGACCTAGCAACGCCTGAAAACTTGTTAGCAGCTTTAAATATTATATAATCACTATATTTTACCATAATTGTGTTTAATAACGCATAATTATCTGTGTTATTGCGCTTTTATTTTAATAAAATGTTTTAAAATTTAATAATTTACACGTTAAACGAATCTGGCGTTCGACAATGCTACCTAAGATTAGCTCATGTTAGGAATGGACTGGTTTCTCGTTACATGAATGTATCAGCAAATGACGGTTAACATTGAAACAGTGCTCGGGACCATCACCAAAGCTACAAGCTAGCTGTGTCAAACTTTACAGGTATGTCTCCTCTGTCATCCTGTTGGACCAGACTCCAGCTGAGTACACTAAACTTTAGGGCACTTCTTCACAAGACTGTCTGTGTTTGTCCAAAGCCAGACTCCAGACACCACAGCTGTGGACAGCACAGGAGGAGGGTTGTTATTACTGGTATAGGGTTGGTATGTCCTCTGGGCACAGGGACTGCAGTAGCCTGGGACCACCTGATAAAAGGTCAGAGTGGGATTGTTGCTCTCCCCTCAGAGGAGTACAAGACTGTTCCCTGTAAAGTGGCAGCATTGGTGCCCAGAGGAAATGAACCAGGTCAGTTTAAGGAGGAGAGGTTTACCTCACGTGGGCAGATCAACAGCATGTCACCAGCCACTGTGATGGCCCTCGGAGCTGCTCAGCTGGCTCTGGAGGACTCAGTGTGGTACCCTGAAACCACAGAGGAACAGCTCAATACTGGGGTGGCTGTGGGCATGGGCATGGTTTCACTGGATGAAATCGCTCGCACCTCTGCTGCCTTCCAAGAAAAGGGCTACAGCAAAGTCAGCCCCTTCTTTGTGCCTCGCATCCTCGTCAACATGGCTGCAGGGCACATAAGTATCAAACATAAACTGAAAGGTCCAAACCACGCAGTGTCCACAGCATGCACCACAGGCGCACACGCCATAGGTGATGCCGCCAGGTTCATTGCCCACGGGGATGCAGTTGCTATGGTGACAGGAGGAACTGAATCCTGTGTGGGGCCTCTGGCAATGGCCGGCTTTGCCAGGGCACGCGCCCTCGCCACCAAATGGAATGACAACCCCACGCAGGCATCGAGACCATTTCACCCAGAGAGAGAGGGCTTTGTGATGGGCGAAGGAGCAGCTGTGCTCCTGCTGGAGGAGCTGGACCATGCAGTGAAGAGAGGGGCCAGGATCTATGCAGAGGTCCTGGGTTATGGACTCTCAGGGGATGCCAGCCACATAACTGCACCCACTGCAGATGGAGACGGAGCATTCAGGTGACTCATCAGTTTTTTTTTTCTTCAGGGGTTTTGTTGTTTAAGCATGCAAGACACACACAACTTCTGTCACTTATTTAAGCAGTGGTTCCCAACCAGGGCCTCGAGGTTGAGGTGTCACAAGATGACGAACAGAATATGAAATAGAAAAAAACACATCTCTGTCACACACAGTCATTTTTATATTAGGTTGCAGGTTGTACAAATGTGTATTTTATTGTGTGGGTGTGTGTGTGTGTGTGTGTGTGTGCCACTCTGTAACTCTGGTCTGGCTAAGATAATAAAACCACTTACTGCCAACTCAAACTCTGCTTTAATAAGCCCCTATAGCATGAGAGATGTGTGGAGATTCTGGTAGAGGTGCATATGCACAGTGGGTTTTTATCAGAACACAGCTGCCTGCTGTAGTCAGGTTTATGTGAGCGATTTTTGCAGACCTGACAACCAAAAGAATGAGCAACAAGGCGCTTAAAAGTTCTGTCAAGCTAAGGGGAAGTGCAGAGTCAGGTGATATTTCTCTGTGGTTTCTGACACCTTCACATTACACAGCTACTTGATTTATGTGAAATAATAATTTGTGTAAGCCTAATTGCTGAGATCAAACCTCCAGGTTAGTCCAACTTCTGTGGAAGACAAAAGTTAATTGTAAAATTATTGTCCAAACTGTCTGAGCATTCATTACAGTTTAGAAAGCTACCTCCAAGTTCAACTTTGACCTACTGCACTTACTGTAGCTGTGTACACACAGTGTCCCTGTGCAATGAGGACATATTATTGACATTTCAGGTGCACTCACATTCAGTTTGAGAACAACAACATGCAGTTATTGTTCAGTAAGCAGCGTTAAAAATGAGCAAATTGAGCCAAAACAAAAACATAAGTTGTAATAAACTGAAATTCAACCCCTGTCTTTACAGATGCATGTCTACAGCCCTCAGAGATGCTGGCGTCTCACCAGCAGATGTGACATACGTGAATGCTCACGCTACATCCACACCTTTAGGTGATGCAGCTGAAAATGCCGCCATCAAGAGGCTCTTTCAGCAAAGCGTTGAAAACCTTGCCGTCTCCTCCACCAAGGGAGCCACAGGACACCTGCTTGGGGCTGCAGGGGCCCTCGAGGCAGCGTTTACCGCTTTGGCCTGCTACCACAGGGTCCTGCCCCCAACGCTCAACTTGGATCGTACAGAGCCAGAGTTCGACCTGAATTATGTTCCTTGCACAGCGCAGCAATGGCGGACTCAGGGCCGACGGGTCGCTCTCACAAACTCTTTTGGATTTGGTGGCACTAACGCATCACTGTGTCTCTCCAGCATGTGATGACACACTGAGACTAATTCTTGACTTTATATTATATTTGAAATCATCAGTCTGTGTTCTTTTTTGTTTTGTATGATAAGAGTTTCACTAACTGAATATTTTTAGTAGAATTATTCAGTACTACTGTGGGTATGAATGGTTGTCTGTCTCTATGTGTCAGCTCTGTGATAGCCAGTCGACCTGTCCAGGGTGTACCCCACCTCTCGCCCAATGTCCCCCACGATCCCCAACAGGACAAGTAGCTATGGAAAATGAATAAATTACATTGAAAGTACTAAATCCTTGTAATGATTGACTGATGTTTTTGTTTTTTTTTTTTTTTTTAATGAAAATGGTCAAATTTACGCTTGTGAGTGGAGGGATAAATCTGGGTCTGGAAAGTAACTAACCCACACTTGACTCTCTCTCATTGCCACTGTTGAGGTGCCTCAGAGCAAGGACAGTCATCTCAGTGGCAAACTGACCAGAGTTACAGATTAATCTATCAGTCATATTCACAATTAAATGATAAATTGTTTGGTCCATTAAATAGTAAAACACATTTTATATTATAAAATGGTTAGTAAAAAAATGTACGGTATGACTTCCTAAAGTTGAAGGTGACATTTTCAAATGTCTTTTTCTGCCCAACTAATTTAAATTGCAATTATTTGAAACAAAGAAAAGCAGAGAGGCAGGAAATTTGTTTTTCAAAATGGGAAATAGTTGATTTATTTTCTAGTGATCAACTAATCGTTAATTGTGTGATTGCTTTACTTTCACTAAAGTGAATAAAAAAGTCATTCCTTATCTCACGTTACTAAGTTTGGTAACTGTCTTACTCTACATACTGATTAAACTCCGACTTACAGCTTTTGGCCATGACGTTATCAAGACGTAAAGCGACATTTCAAAAATAAATATTGAGCTACCGCACCAGTACCATCTGCAAACAACAATTATTTAATACCCGGTTTTTCAGAACACACAATAATATCACCTAATATGGATGAATTTCACAGATTTCTTAATACAAAAGTAGTTTAAAGATTGTAATGAACGGATCTAACTGCACTAATTATAATTTTTAGAGTTAGTTTTAGTTTAATCCAGGAGTTCTGATAAATCTGAAAGGTCATCACATAATCAGTGGGAGTGGACTTAGTCTTCTGACCACCAAAGCACTTTTACACTACTTGTCACTTTCACCCATTCACTCACAATGGGCTGAGGCTTCCATACAAGGTGCCACCTGCTGTAACCATTCATACGCACTCAGACCAATTTAGGATCTCATCCAAGGATACCACACGCAGACTGGAGGACCTGGGGATCGAACAGCCGATCTTTCAATTAGTAGATGACCTGCTTTATGTCCTGAGCAGCAGCCACCACTTAAAACAGTGTTCCATAATTTGAACATTAATCTGTAGTGACAGAGCCCAGATGGCATAACATATGCTTCATCTACCATCACATACCTTCTGAAGCCTATGAGTCATTGCACTTACCAGACTTCTGTAATTTAATTTTATAGATATTGTGAGCCCGTCTCTTACTGTGAGCATGCCCAGGTTGGTCTGAGCATCTCTGTGCAGCTTCCTGTACAGTACAGTCATAATAATTGACACAAAGATTGATTTTTATTGCTGCTAAGCATCTATAATCAGGACTGTGTCCATGGCATTTTTTCCCTAATCTTTGCTTTGTTGTGAAATATTGGATAAGTTTACTCTTTATACTTTATTTAAATGAAAACATCTGACAAGTTCCCTGTTTTTATAAGGGGTCACAAGTCAAACAGGTTGAAAATCACTGGTTTAATATCCTAAACAATGGATTGTACTCTATAAAATAAAAAGTAAATAAGATGGTGTAAAAGTACAAAGCCTTCCTTTGACGTACAGTGGAGTAGAAGTATAAAATCTCACACAAAAATACCTCAAAATCGTACTTAGGTACTGTGCTTTAGTATATTTACTTCCCACCACTACTTATATGTCAGATCCAGTCCTTATACCTGTGTTAAAGTGCTTTGTGCAGTGTGTTTGAAATGAGCATTCCACCATGGGACCTGGAGTAATGTCTGAGCCCAGCCATCACTCTGAAGCAGACTGTACTCTCTGTGCTCCAGCAGGTGGCGTTGGCTGACAGCAAGTCATGCAGTTTACTTTGATGTACATGTCCAGTGCAGTTTACATTTTTAGCAAGGGCGTAGGTTGTGTTTCAACACTGGTGGGGACAAATATGAAATAGGGGATCCACTGCTCCTCCTCCAGAAAATTTCCATCTCAGTTTCTGCATTCTGGTGATTTTTATGCACCAATTTATGGTGGAAATGTCACAAAATTCATGCATCTTATGACAATTCAAAATATAAAAAACAATAGAATATAACACAGTATAGGGCTCTCATTTTGTATTGCTTTCAAATACTGATTCTCATGTAGACCAGCTTTTCTTATGTCATAGTATCCCTGCTGAGTCAACACACAGGCATGATTTACCCCTCTATCTTTTCATGTTTGGGGAATCAACCTCTTTAAATGTGCATGTGGCACCTGTTCACACCAGTGACACATAAATTCATTTTAATTAGTTTAAAGCCCCTGGACTTCAGTAGCTAATATGTATTGGCATGTTCACTGAGAGAAAATGGAAAAGCTAGACATTATGAAACTGTGTGAAGAATTTGTTAAGATTACTTATCAGTGAATGCACTTCTTTGGGGTCTATTTTAGAAACACTCTAGGAAACATTCAGATTACATTAATTTTTTTAGGACAATGCACATTTGTCTCTTCTATATCTGTTTTTATTGAATTGTATGTCTTCTTATAGTCCAAATAAACCCATCTCAAAGCGTTCTTCTTTGTTACGTTAGTTAACATTTCTTGGTGCAAGCAGATGATTTTTTTTTTTTTTTTAACAAATCGTCCATTCAAAAAAGTGTTGGGGACACATTCCCAGCGTCCTCAGTGTAAATTGTACTTATGCATTTTAGGCATTAAATAGATACTTTAATACAACAACAAACAAGAATTACCACCTTGCGCCTGTTTGCCTTTGTGAACCAGTCAAGGTGCAATTAATATCCATGTCTGTCCAGATTCATATGTAGCCATGACAGATGAAAATGATGATTGAAAAAATGCAAAGACGCTACATTTCAGCAAAGACGCTACATACTGTAAAATGTGGATACTTCACACACATCTTCAATCTTCATTCTTCAATCAGCACAGTTTCAAGGTGGGCAGCTAAAATTGGTGTCACAATTCAGTATCTCTCCCCTTCTGTTCCTGAGATATGACGTTGAATAATGTCCAGAAACTGTTTTTTGCAGAACATGATGATGTCACAATGAAGTTGACCTTTGACGTTCTTGATATACAAGGTCATCACTTCATCATTTTATGCTATTAGAAATTTGTGTAAAGTTTTGTCATAATTAGTGTATGAATTCTTGAGTTATTGCCAAAAAATGATTTTGAGGTCACAGTGACCTTGGCCTTTAACCTTGAAAATCTAATCAGCTAGTCTTTGTCTTTCAAATTTAAAGAAATCCCCCCAAGGTGTTAGTGAGATATTGCATTCACAAGAATGGGACAAACCAGGTCACAGTGACCTCATTCTTGGTACCCATCGGCTGTATCGCCGTCTGACTTCCGGCAGACGGCGATACAGCCTCTGAGGCCAGACCCTCGATTTTTTGGCATTCCAGTTTGATTTGGGCAGAGGAGGCAATATATATATAAGTAAATATGCTGAACCATTGCGATGGATTCAGAGTTTGCAGTGACGCCAATTATGTTCCGCCTCGTTAGTTCACCTCACGGACCGCTTAACCTGGCAACAACTGCCACCGGCTCAAACGTGATTGGTCAATATCACACGGACTACAAACAGGGCTCTTCTGCTCTTCTTCCGGAGGCAAGACTCCGGGGTTTGCCTACAGACTCTACATTCACTGAATGTAGAGTCTGTATATAGAGACTACAGTGACCTTTGACTGCTAATATCTAATCAGTTCACTGTTGAGTCCAAGCGGATGTTTGTGCCAAATTTAAAGAAATCCCCCCAAGGTCTTTGTGAGATATTGCATTCACAAGAATGGGACAAACCAGGTCACAGTGACCTTGACCATTGACTTATGACCATCAAAATGTAATCATTTCATCCTTGAGTCCACTTAGAAACAATTTCTGTCGAGGCGTTCTTGAGAGATTGTGTTCACAAGAATGGGACGGATGGACGGACAACTCAAAAATATAATTGGCCATGGCTATTGCCGGCACTGAGGCATAACAATAAAAATTCACCACATTCAAAAAGCATCCCAACTTACTGAGGTCTTCCTCGGAGGTATCCTTACCTGACCTTAGAGCAATCATAAAATATCAAAGTGCTCAGAAGAGAAACAGCAGGGAGGAGACGCAGGAGGCTTTTAGATCCATTATAGTAGATAGAGGAAATCATCTAATAAGGAGGTCGATATGAATAATTGCATTAAGAAGATAATGTTAGTTAATTGACTGCTGTTAGCTTCCTATAGCCAACCTGTGTTTTCTTTAAATAGGAACCCAGACTCCAAGAAGCTTTGGACAATTCATTGCAATTAGGAAATAAGTGGTGCTGTGCAGCTGACATTAATAACATCCTAATGGAGGCATGATCTCACAGTAGTGCCTTTTGTGATCACTTATGAAGGCACTGTCCAAACCAAGACCTCTTGGCTGTGTTGTTGTCCTTTGGGCTGCAGCCTGGTTTGGCCTTTTGCTTTGACTTTAGTGTCGAGAAAACAACAAGAGCAGAGGGTCTGAGTAAGAGAGGTTAATTGGGGACAAAGTGCCATTTTGTTAGGGTTGAAATGAAAGTAATGGGGTAAACAGTCCCCTAAGGAAAAGGACAGTTTTCCAAATTGTCCCACATCTTCAAAGTTTGAGTGACAATTATTCTGCTCCTTTATACGGTGGACGAAACACAACGTTCTTGTATAGCATCCTCAGGGAGACATACAATGGCTACAAGGGGACATTGAGTGGCCATTTGGAGCCTCTTCTGTGATGGTTGAAAATATATGTGTGTTTAAATTTCCCTTTGGCAAGTTTGGGCCTTGTGAGTGCAACTTTGTCATGTAATGAAAAACAAATCTCACATTTAATAGTAAATAATATTCCACAAAGAGCAGAAGAGAAACTGGTTTTAAAATAAAATAAGTGAGTGGACATTAAACAAGACTACAGCCTCATTAACAGCTCCTAGTGACTGTAGTGTCCTTTCGACATGGATGGAATTAA